TTCAACTCTTCTGCCAATTTACCCACTCATTATATTTTACATGAATATGATTACATATTCATATATTTACATGTTTATATATGTAGTCATATATAGTTTTTACATGTGTGTGTGTGTGTGTGTGTGTGTGTGTGTGTGTGTGTGTGTGTGTGTACGTGTGTCTGTGTGTGTGATCATTATTATTATTATTATGTTGATGCAGGCTACATCAACTTCACTGCCAGCAGGTGGCGCTGTAGACCAGAGCACACACACACACACCCACAGCGCGCGCGCGCAAGCTGACGGAGCACACACACCTTCAGTCAGTCGGCAGACCGTGTTTAATGTGTCACAGTGGAGTTGAAGACAGAGTCCAGCACTGGAGCACATCAGCATCGGTCAATAAACTAGCTAGGAGCGGCTCGGTGACGCAGTGGTGTCACACTGTGGCCTCACAGCAAGAAGGTCTCCGGTTTGAGTCCCGACTGGGTCAGTTGGCGTTTCTGTGTGGAGTTTGCATGTTCTCCCCATGTTGGCGTGGGTTAATTTCCTCCGGGTGCTCCGGTTTCCCCCACAGTCCAAACAAATTGGTCAACTCAATTGGTCATAGTGTATGTGTGTGTGTGTGAATGAGTGAGTGTGTATGGGTGACTCCCAGTACTGGGATGCTGCTAGATAGGCATCCGCTGTGTAAAACATATGCTGGTATAGTTGACGGTTCATTCCACTGTGGCGACCCCTGATTAATAAAGGGACTAAGCTGAAGGAGAGTGAATAATTGAATGAATGAATGAATGAATGAGTGAACAATGTCATGATTAGCTCTGCTTTATTCACCTGTGTGTGTGTGTGTGTGTGTGTGTTTGATCATTATTATCATCATCCTCATCCTCGTTTGTGTGTGTGTGTGTGTGTGTTTGATCATTATTATCATCATCCTCATCCTCGTTTGTGTGTGTGTGTGTGTGTGTGTTTGATCATTATTATCATCATCCTCATCCTCGTGTGTGTGTGTGTGTGTGTGTGTGTGTGTGTGTGTGTGTGTGTGTGTGCTCTCCCCGTGTCAGTAGATCTCTGACTCTGAGCTGTCGGCTTCTCTCTGTTTATTTTCTCTCAATGAACGCGATGAATGAGAGCGGCCATTGAGAATCTCAGACCGAGGCAGCCGTAGGCGCGGCCTACGAGCCGGCTCCGCCTTCTGTATAAAATACGCATGCGTGCGCCGCTGCGGGACTCAGATGAAGCTCCGCGCCGCTCCTGGACACTCTGAGCGGGGAAACACGCGTGCAGGAACCGCTGGACTACCGGTGAGTCTGACACACACACAATGTGCATGGGCTGCGGAGTGTGTGACACGGAACGTCCTTGGCGAGTATCTGTGTGTGTGTGTGTGTGTGTGTGTGTGTGTGTCAGTGAGACACTCGTGTTCATCAGCCTGTTGGTTAGTTCAGTTTGTGTGTGTGTTCATTTGTTTTTTTGACACTCGGGTTGGTAGTTTAGTTAATCAATATACATGTGTTTGTTGTTGTGTGTGTGCGTGTGTGCGTGTGCGATTCATCAGCTTATTAGTTTAATCATTGTGTTTGTGTGTGTGTTTGCTTATTTGTTTGTTTTTTTGTTTGTTTGGTTGGTTGTTTGATTATTTGATCCTCAGGCTTATTTTTTTAGTTTGTTTGTTGGTTGGTTGGCTGGTTGATCCTCAGGCTGATTTGTGTGTGTGTGTGAGAGAAACAGACATGTTCATCAGCCTGTTGATTAGTTAAATTAGTGTGTGTGTGTGTGTGATTAACTCGAGTTCATCAGCCTACTGCGTTAGTTGTGTGTGTGTGTGTGTGTGTGTGTGTGTTTGTTTGTTTGTATGTATGTATGTGTACACTGTGTATATATTGTGTGTATGTATAGAGTGTGTGTGTGTGTGTGTGTAGAATGTGTTTGTGTGTAGACACTGCGTTTATATTGTGTGTATGAAGTGTGTGTGTGTATATGTGTCTTATAGTACTTATAGTGTGTGTGAATAAAGTGTGTCTTAGTGTGTGTGTGTATGCATATATTGTATGTGTATAAAGTATGTCTTATAGTGTGTGTGTGTGTGTGTATATATATATATATATTTATTTATTTATTGTGTGTATTGTGTGTGTGTGTGTGTGTGTGAGTGTATAGAGTGTGTGTGTGTGTGTGTGTGTGTGTGTGTGTATAGAGTGTGTGTGTGTGTGTGTGTGTGTGTGTTGTGTGTGTGTGAGAGAGAGCGCTGCTGCTCTTCCTCTGCAGTCTGAATGCTCAGTTTCTCTCTCCTCCTCCTGTATTTCCATGTGCTGTTCTTACTGTCAGCAGCGTTCAGGAAGTCATAAACCCTCGTGTTTCTCAGCCAATCAGGAGCCAGCAGTCTGTGTGAACCGGCCAATGACAGTGATGGAGCCAATTTAGTGGATGGGGATGATTGTGAGGGCATGATGGGTAAGGGCTGATGGTGGGAGTTTGGCCAGAACACCGGGGTTACACCCCTACTCTTACCAGAAGTGCCCCCTTCACTGTACTGGGGCTTTAGGACTCCCATCAGACACTGACCAGACTCAGCCCTGCCCGGCTCCAGGTGATGTGGCTGTGGCTCCAGCATTGTGTTGAGCAGCTCCAGCATGCGTCACTCCAGTGATACTGATTTCAGCAAACCCTTCATGTGTCAACAAGGGCAGATAAAACACGGCTCATGTGCTGAACGATCCATTATGACACTCGTCATCAGTGTTCTGGGAAGCGTACAGCGCCGCTGAAGACAGACTCAGATGCAGACACTCTCACAGCCACAGACGACATTACACTACAGATAACACTACACATTACACTACACATTACAGATAACACTACAGATAACACTACACATTACACTACACATTACACTACACATTACACTACACATTACACTACACATTACACTACACATTACACTACACATTACAGATAACACTACAGATAACACTACACATTACACTACACATTACACTACACATTACACTACAGATAACACTACAGATAACACTACTGATAACACTACACAATACACTACACAATACACTACACATTACACTACACATTACACTACACATTACACTACAGATAACACTACAGATAACACTACTGATAACACTACACAATACACTACACAATACACTACACATTACACTACACATTACACTACAGAGTACACTACAGAGTACACTACAGATAACACTACAGATAACACTACACATTACACTACAGAGTACACTACAGAGTACACTACACTCCTCTGCAGTATAGATGTAAATCGGTTTCCTTTGCAGTATAGATGTATATCGTCTCCTCTGTAGTATAGATGTATATCGGTCTCCTCTGTAGTATAGATGTATATCGGTCTCCTCTGTAGTATAGATGTATATCGGTCTCCTCTGTAGTATAGATGTATATGGGTCTCCTCTGTAGTATAGATGTATATGGGTCTCCTCTGTAGTATAGATGTATATGGGTCTCCTCTGTAGTATAGATGTATATGGGTCTCCTCTGTAGTATAGATGTATATCGGTCTCCTCTGTAGTATAGATGTATATCGTTTCCTCTGTAGTATAGATGTATATCGGTCTCCTCTGTAGTATAGATGTATATCGGTCTCCTCTGTAGTATAGATGTATATCGTTTCCTCTGTAGTATAGATGTATATCGTTTCCTCTGTAGTATATGTATTCTCTCTGTAGTATAGATGTATATCGGTCTCCTCTGTAGTATAGATGTATATCGGTCTCCTCTGTAGTATAGATGTATATCGGTCTCCTCTGTAGTATAGATGTATATCGGTCTCCTCTGTAGTATAGATGTATATCGGTCTCCTCTGTAGTATAGATGTATATCGGTCTCCTCTGTAGTATAGATGTATATCGGTCTCCTCTGTAGTATAGATGTATATCGGTCTCCTCTGTAGTATAGATGTATATCGGTCTCCTCTGTAGTATAGATGTATATCGGTCTCCTCTGTAGTATAGATGTATATCGGTCTCCTCTGTAGTATAGATGTATATCGGTCTCCTCTGTAGTATAGATGTATATCGGTCTCCTCTGTAGTATAGATGTATATCAGAAGTATAGATGTATGTTAGTGTCCTCTTTGGTGATTCTGCAGGGGTGTTCAGTCTCTCCATGGTCAAGCTTCTGTTCTCTTCATAAAGGAACAGTGATGGAGCCGCTGTCAGGATAACCGCCGGGCATCAGGAGTGTCAGTCATGATGGAGTTACAGGACGCTGCTCTCCTCTCCTCTCCTCTGGGTTAAAAATAAGCATTTCGGCATTAAGTGAAGTTTATTCATAAACTAATTTCGAGAGGATCACGTCCTTATGATTTATCACGGCCGGTCTCGCATTTGCTAATCACTATCTTCCAATCATACGAGCCCTTAGCTACTATAAATAATCACAGTTTTCAGTTCACTTTATCTTCGTTTGGCAGAAACCCCCTCCTCCCCTATTCTTCTTTTTTACTTCTGACTGGGCGGCACGGCGGCCCAGTGGTTAGCACTGTGAGCCCCACAGCAAGAACACTGCCGGCCCTGGTTCTACAGGACCGGTGGGTGTTTCTGTGAGGAGTTAGCATGTTCTCCCCGTGTCCGCGTGTGTTTTCCCCGGGTTCTCTGTTCAAAGACATTCAACATGTATAACAATCAAGCCTTTATCTAACCCCTCGTGTTCCCTTAGCTACCGCAGCAGGGGAGTTCTGAGATCCACCTAGCTCAGGCTCCCCTCTCGCTCTGCCAACGGGAGGAAGCCTCCTCGAGCCCGGGGCTCTCTCCCGGGACAGCATGCCAAACAAGCTTTTATAAATCATCAGCTAAGTGTGAACTCTTGAATCATGGTTAATAATGTTCAGATGCGCAGTGGTGGAGCTGCTCTGTGTGTGTATTTCTGTAGTGTGTGTCTCTGTGCATCTGCTGCGTTCATGAGCATCCTGGCCTACACACACACACACACACACACACACACACACACACACACACCTCAGGTGAACACTGTGGAGGGTGTTTGACTCTTCATGATTACTGACGGCGTGCACAGCGTTTGTGTCGCCTGTCTTCAAACGGGTTCTGCTGTTCAGAGTTGATGCTGTAAACACACGCGGTGGTGTGTGTGTGTGTGTGTTCAGTGGTGTTGCGTCACACACGCGTCCAGCAGACTCATGAGGCTTTGATGACACTAAATCAATCTGCACTGCTGTGGAAAAACCAATGAGCAGAAAGTTTGAGCGCTTCCAGACACTGACCTGCTGTGTGTGTGTGTGTGTCTGTGTGTCTCTCTGTGTGTGTGTGTCTCTCTGTGTGTGTGTCTCTCTGTGTGTGTGTCTCTGTGTGTGTGTGTGTGTGTGTGTGTGTGTGTGTGTGTGTGTGTGTGTGTGTGTGTGTGTGTGTGTGTGTGTGTGTGTGTGTGTGTGTGTGTGTGTGTGTGTGTGTGTGTGTGTGTGTGCGCATTTGTAAGAGAGAGAGAGTGTGTGCACGCATGTGTAGGTCTGGGGTCAGGAGGAGGCAGACCTGAGAACAGCTGAAGCTGCAGCCAGTGGAAAGTTTCTGTGTGTGCGTGTGCGCACGCGTGTGTTCGTGTGTGTGTGTGTGTGCGCGCAGCGCCCCCACACTTTCACTTTGACTGTTTCGCTGCTGTAATCAGTAATTTTGCACATCAAATTGTGTGAAGGCAGAATCATCATCACACACTCTGATCATGGATGTGGGATTATCTCTGAAGTGTGTGTGTGTGTGTGTGTGTGTGTGTGTGTGTGTGTGTGTGTGTGTGTGTGAGTCCTTCTGCTATTGGCTCGGGGGATTTCTGCTTCACTCTGAATGCAGAAAGTAAATGTGGACTTGTATGTAACATGAACAAGTGTGTGAGTGTTTGAGTTGTGTGTGTGTGTGTGTGTGTGTGTGTGTTGTGGGGTTTCCAGTGTGGTGAGCAGATCAGTTTCCTGTATGTTGTTGTGCTAAAGCGAGCGCGGTGTGGTGTGGTGTGAGACCTGCGCTGCTGTGTTCTGGTCTGCTCTCATGTCTCTTACTGGCACTGAGAGCAGCACGATGACCTGCACACACACTAACTGATCGTGTGTGTGTGCTTGTGTGTGTGCAGCTCAGCGTGTGTAGCCGTGATGACTGACGTGATGATCAGCGCAGCACCGATGGATGATATGAGGCTCAGTCCCAGCAAGGAGCGGCTCACATTTCAGGTAATTCACACTTGATTCGTCTGATTCACACTTGATTCACACCTGTTTCACATCCATTCATCTGATTCACACCTGTTACACATCCATTCATCTGATTCACACTCATCTATGTAATTCTCACTCCATTCATCTGATTCATGTCCATTTTGTCTCATCCTCACCCGACTGAAATTCGGTTCACACTTGATTCACACCCATTTGTCTGATTCACATTCAGTTCACATCCATTTATCTGATTCACACCCCATTCATCTGATTCATGACCATTTTGTCTCATTCACAGCAGATTAACATTTTTCACACCCATTCATTTGATTCACATCTGATTCACAGGATTCACACACAATTCACACCCCATTCATCTGATTCGTGCCCATTTTGTCTCATTCACACCGGATTAACATTTAATTCATTCCTGATTCACATCCATTTGATTCAGATGATTCACATTCAATTGACACCCCATTCATCGGATTCACGCTCATGATTCACACCTCATTTATTTGATTCATGCCCATTCTTTCTCATTCACACCGGATTAACACTCTATTCACACCTGATTTACACCCATTCATTTTATTCACATCTGAATAACACATGATTTACATTAATTTCTCACCTGATTAATGTCTGATTCACACATTTGTACAATAAATTCACTCCCCATTCATCTGATACACACCTGATTGACAAGCGATTCACACCACCTTCATCTGATTCAAGCTCGTTATGTGTCATTCACACCGGATTAACATTAAGTTCACAACTGATTCACACCCATCCGACTCGCAGATACTTTACACACAATTCACACCCCATTCATCTGATTCACATTCAATTCACATCCCATTCATCTGATTCACACCTGATTGACAAACGATTTACACCCCATTCATCTAATTCACATTTAATTCACATCCCATTCATCTGATTCATGTCCATTTTGTCTCATTCACACCAGATTAATATTCCATTTACATCTGATTCATGCCCATTCATTTGATTCACATGTGATTCACTTTCAATTCACACCCATTAATCTAATTCACACCGATTCGTCTGATTCACACCTGATCCACAATTGACCCACTCCTGATTCACACCAGATTCACATCTCATCCACCTTTCATCCAAAACTGATTCGCATCTCATCCATACCCGATTCATATCCCATTCACATCTTGTTCACACTTGCGTAATGACTATTTATCAGCACTACATTACTATTAAGCACCAGTTTAGCAGGCGTTTAGAGCAAAACCAGTAGTTAATAGTCTGCATGATCCCTACTACAGTCTCATAGTACTGTTACCAGCAGTGTAGGCCTCATAGAGTGTGTGTGTGTGTGTGTGTGTGTGAGTGTGTGTGTGTGTGTGTGTGTGTGTGTGTGTTTAGAGCTCTCGGAGGGCTTGATGGGAACAGCAGTGTTGTATAAAGCTGCAGTGCTGATCTTCATCATGGCGGAGGGTTCACGGTGTTATTCTAGTTCTCCCCAGTCTCAGGCTCTGCTGGTGTTTATAGATCGAGGGTCAGACGAGGGTCTCAGGCCCTGTTATAGAACATCTGTGTGTGTCCTTCTTTCATCTGTTTTCTTTCTCATCATTCTCTCTCTCACACACTCTCTCTAATGTTCTTTCCACTGGCCTGATGCCCAGAGTGTGTTATTGGTTTCCATGTATGTCACTGAATGATGGCCGGCTAAAAATACCCTGAGCTTCATCCAGAGCTCCACACCAGACGACAGGCGGAGAAAGATAAACACACCGATGTGGAGAGTGTGTGAGAGTGAGACACTGTGTGAGAAAGACAGATTTGTTTTTGTGCGTCTCTGTGTGTGTGTGTGCGCGCGTGCGGTCACTGATGTCTCTGTGCTCGTCTTCAGATCTTCCCGGACCCGTCAGACTTCGAGCGCTGCTGTAAACTGAAGGAGCGCCTGCCGTCCATCGTGGTGGAGGCGACGGAGGGAGAGGTGGAGAGCGGAGAGCTGCGCTGGCCCCCGGAGGACTTCCTGATCACTGAGGAAGAGGAGGAGGAAGAGGAGGAGGAGGAAGATGAGGATCGGCAGAACACACACAACACCAAGCATTAGAGACGCTCACAATCACTCAACACACACACACAGGAGATCAGGCCTGGACTGACAGCAGACTGATCTCACACACACGCACATACACTCCTATGAACTGCGTCAGCACTGAGAATTAGAGTGTGTGTGTTTAATTGCAGTGAGTGAGGAGTGTGTGTGTGTAATTGCAAAGAGGTGTGTGTGTAAATGCAGTGAGTGAGGAGTGTGTGTTTAATTGCAGAGAGGTGTGTGTGTGTGTGTGTGTGTGTGTGTGTGTGTGTGTGTGTGTGTGTAAATGCAGAGAGGTGTGTGTGTGTGTGTGTGTGTAAATGCAGAGTGTTCATTTGTGTTTGAATACAGTGAGAATGTGTGTGCGTGCATGCATGAGTGTGCACGTGTTGTGTGTATGTGTGCATTTGAATGTAGTGAGTGAGGTGTGTATGCGTGAGGTGTGTGTTTTTCTGAACACAGTGAGGGCTTAGTGAGGAGTTTTCACATCGTGTGTGTGTGCGTGCGTGCGTGCGTGTGTGACATTATTTACTCCTGTGCGATGATGAACTTTTGAAGATGATGAAGATATTGATGATAGTGACGGCATTCCTGTGCTCATTCCCTTTATTTACACTGTTTTCTGCACACACAGCTCCAGATGTGAGTGTGTGTGTTTGTGTGTCACTGGTGTGTGATTGTTCTGTAAATAGTCTGATAGTAGTGTGTGTTTGTGGAGAATCGTGGCTTGTCTCCTGTTGTCTACGGATGTGTGCAGTATACACACACGTTCGCACACACACTTATGTACATGTCAGTGTTAATGTGTTCCAGGGCACTTCCTGTCTGCTCGTCCCTCTTCATCTGTAAAGACTCAGGGAGTTTCTCTTGTTGTGTAGATGTGTGTCTTTCTCTGTAAATAAACCCTTTAAAGTGCTTTACACAGCAGCGTTCCTCACACTCTTTTCACACGCTGAGGTTTAAACAGCTGTAGTAGCTGATCGGCTGAGGTGGTTCTACAGTTGCTATGGTAACACAACAGCTGTAGTAGCTGATCCGCTGTGGTGGTTCTACAGTTGCTATGGTAACACAGGGATTGTTTTATAAACAAATGGGCCAGTACTGTAGTTCTCTACAGCTATAGACCATATCTTGCAATGCACCAGTGTTTACTGCAGTATAAACTAAAGTGCACTGCAGTGTGTATTAGAGTTGATCAGTTTTACAGTATGCTGGAGCACTCACCAATCAAAACTTGAGCTTAATACAGTATAATGCACTGCTACAGTACAGTTCAAACTGTGTGTGTGTGTGTGTGTGTGTGTGTGTTGTTGTTGTTGTGAATGTCTCTGCAGTGTTTGTTTGTCATCTCAGTGTAAGCTGAGGAACAGGACGCTTCTCCACATTCTCTCAGTCTTAATGTGACACAAAGGTTTTAAATGTGTGTGTGTGTGTGTGTGTGTTGACTTCCTGCAGAACCTGTGTGCATGTGTGTGTGTAGCATTACTGTATTTAGTCACTCTAACCGCACATTGCCTTCCTGTATAGGCTGCTCTGAAATGAGCACGCTTCCTGTCAGACTGAGGGAGATTCAACTTCAGTGAGCTGACAAACTCTAATCAACACTGTAGATTATACTGCAGTAAACGGTGCTGCTGTAGGAGACTACACAACTGACTCACTTGTTTATATAACTATACTTGAGTTACCATGGCAACTGTAGAATCACCACAACA